AATGTTGATATAAATACTAACAAGCCTATGCATATTTTGAAAATAAACTACTGTTAAGATCCTTCTTATTTAAACAAATTCAAAAAAATTAAAAACTCCTCAAGCTGCGTTTTAATGAATCCATGTTTCTAACAAAAATATGATGAATATAAATCAATCACAACTATGTAAACACTATGTCCCCTTTACAGAAACTCAATAATCATATCTTGAGATAAAGTAAGATCCATAGAAGACATTAGAATGTTATGTGAAAGCTTGTCATTTTCTTTTCTTGGTTCAATTCATTTGAATACGTACACATAGAGGCAACAATGCAGCGAGTAATGTTGATATTATATGATAGCAAATAAAAACTAATAGGCACCTTCACATACTAAGGGAGGCAGTCAAGCGGCAGAGAAACCATAACAATAATCATGAATATATATATATATATATAAATGGAGAGAAACCACATTGGTAAAGTGGCCGGGCAAATCAATTAGGGTAGAATACATCCAAAAATTCATTCTTAAATGATGTACGCACTCAAAAGGGATTTTTGTTAATAGTAAGAAGATTACCTGATTTTTTTAATAGGACGACATATATGATGTGACAGATCGATTGGCAGCGGAATGGAAAACCTGGAAATCACAGAAGTTACCAGGACAAAATCAATCGATCCTTCTCGTCGCACATGAGAGCGGGGAGGAAAGGGGCTGCGGCGAAGGAGAAGGGAGACGCCGCACGATCCGATTAAGAAGTGGACATTACTTTCTTTAGTAGCCGGAAAGAGCGGTGCTGATAACGTGTAATAAACAAGATCAAAAGCATATCATTCATTCACATATAGCCATCTATATATACAAGGAGAAGGGAGCTAGGGTTACACTTGATATGGGCCAGAACATATGGGCTTGGGGGTTAATGGACATCCACATATTACATAACAATATTGTTACATTTATGGCTTAATTGATTTTACTTATTTTAAAAGTCCATTTTGTGAGAATAATTACGAGGCTTAACCATACTGGTAGCCCTGACAGATATATTTATAGATAATAAGAGTCAGAATTACAATAGGAGTCCACAATAATAAATAATATTAAAACTACTCTATTACACCTCTTCAAGCTGTGCAGGGGCAACAATGCGCAAATTGTCACGAAGAAGAGTAAATTGTTGCGGAGATAAGCACTTAGTAAAAATATCTGCCAGTTGAGCCTTAGTAGGAACATATCGCACACGCAAATCACCATGAGCCACCCGTTCACGAACAAAGTGATAGTCAATATTAATATGTTTGCTTCTGGCATGATGAATATGATTAACTGAGAGATATGATGCAGAAATGTTGTCACAATACAACGTGGTGGGATCGCGAACGGGAAAACCAAGCTCAAACAGGACCGAACGAACATGAAGAGTGTCTTGAACAGTGAGTGCCACGGTCCTGTATTCAGCCTCAGTGGAAGATCTGGAAACAGTTGGTTGCTTCTTCGAACGCCAGGAGATCAAATTCGGACCCAGAAAAAATTGCATAACCAGAAGTAGAACGACCTGTGTCCGGGCTAGGGTTGTAAACGAATCGAATAATTTTGATTCGATTCGTCATTCGAATTCGAAAATGCCGATTCGAATTCGAGTAAGTAGAATACGAATACGAATATAAATCTATTTTTTGATTCGAATACTTTACGAATACGAATACAAATACTATGATATTCGGTTCGAATAATATTCGAATATATTCGAATTATATATTTATATATTTATATATTTATATATTTATATATTTATATATTCATACAATATATACATATATATTTATATATTTATATTCGAATTAATACATATAGTTCAATGTAAAAATATTAATAACAAAATATTCATGTAAAAATTTTGCATGTTTTAATTTAAAAATTCTTACTTTACCAGGTCAAAATAGCTTAATTTACAATTAAAATTCTTCGTTGATTTATCTATATTGATATTAAATTTGAAGTGACTTCTATTAATGAATTTTATTTCCTATAAAATATGTAATATGAAAATTAGTTAAAAGGGGCAAACTAACATCATAATTTTAATTATTTTCACAAATTAACTTTAATGTTTTTTGAATTCGAATATTTGAATTCGATTCGAAAAAGATTCGAATATATCAAACGAATCGAATACGAATACAAAATAAGATTCGAAATTTAAACGAATACGAATACGAATATTCGATGATTATACGAATACGAATAATATTATCAAGTATTCGGTTCGATTCGATTCCTTTACAACCCTAGTCCGGGCAACCAGCCCAGTCAGCATCTGAGTAGGCAATAATTTCTGGACGTTCCCGAGAAGCTTGTAGGAGGAGCCCATGCGTAGAGGTGCCCTGGAGAAACCTGAAAATACGCTTAACAGCCAACAAATGTGAAGTACGAGGCGCATGCATGAAGTGAGAAACCAAGTGTACAGCAAAAGTAATATCTGGCCTAGTCAAAGTTAAATACTGTAGTGCACCTATCATACTTCTGTACTCCGTGGCATCAGCCGCAAGAAGCTCCCCATCAGTAAGAGAAAGTTTAGTGTGACTAGGTAGAGGAGAGCGAACAGGTTTTAACGTATGAAAGTGAAAACGAAGAAGAAGATCAGATATATACTTGTGCTGAGAGAGAAACAAACCAGAAGTGGTCCTGGACGCATGTATTCCAAGGAAAAAATGCAAATCCCCCAAATCCTTCATGGAAAAACATTTTGCCAGAAGAGATAAGAAATGAGTAACTAATTTTGGGGAATTGCCAGTAACAATAATATCATCAACATATAGCAAGAGATAAATAATGGAAGAATTACGTCTGAAAATGAATAGCGAATTATCCGACCGGCTGCATACAAAACCATGAGAAAGGAGAAAACTACTAAAATGATGAAACCAAGGACAAGGTGCTTGTTTGAGACCATAAATAGCTTTACGAAGCCGACACAAATGGTGAGGAAACTGAGGGTAGGTGAATAAAACCAGGTGGTTGACGCATATAAACCTCCTCCGTAAGATGACCATGAAGAAACGCATTTTTGACATCAAGTTGGCGGATGGACCAGCCAAATGACACGGCTAAAGTAAGAACAAGGCGAACAGTAGTGGGTTTGACAACAGGGCTAAAAGTCTCAGTAAGATCAATACCTGCCTGCTGATTAAACCCCTGAGCAACCAATCTTGCTTTGTAGCGATCAACAAACCCATCAGCCAAATACTTAGTCTTATAAACCCATTTAGACCCAACAATATTCTTAGTAGCATCAAACGAAACTAAATCCCAAGTATGATTCGAGATAAGGGCATTAAATTCCTCAGCCATAGCGGCTCTCCACTTAAGATGTTTATTTGCAACAGAAAAACATGTGGGATCAGGTGAGTTAAAAACTGTGCTTAAGTTAAAAATTGTTTTTGGTTTAAAAATTCCGGATTTTGACCGGGTTTGCATAGGATGAATATTAACAACTGGGGAAGTAGTCGCATGGGAGGAAGCACGGAGATCTGGAGCAGTTGTGGGGGGCTGTTCGAGTTCTGTGGGTTGGTTTGGGGAAGAAGTAGTGGTTGGAGGGGATTCGGTGGGTACTGGAAGAGTGGGTGCAGTGCCAGAGAGGGAATCTCCATGCGCAGAAAAGTGGTCATCTGGGGAAGTTTGGTCATCTGGCCGATCATGAGTATGTAGCAGGGATGGGGAGGGAGGATTAGGGGCATGTATCTGTTGGTCGCGGCTGGGCAAGTAAATGAGAGAGGCACGAGAGGGTACAGTAGAAGAAGACACAGTGGTACGTACAAGATCAGGGTATGGGAAAATATTTTCTAAAAATCTAACATTTTTGCTAATATAGACACGACCCGAAATAGGATCAAAACACCGGTATCCCTTATATTCAAGGGCATAACCTAAGAAAATACACTCAACTGACGGAGGATGCAGTTTATTAGCAAATGAAGCATTAAAATTAGGAAAACATGCACATCCAAACACACGCATAAAAGATAAGTCAGGTTTGAAATTGAAGAGTTTTTCAAAAGGAGATAAACCATGTAGAGTAGGAGAGGGGATTCTATTAATTATAAAGGTAGCAGTAAGGACGGCATCTACCCAAAACGTAGCGGGCAAACTAGCTGTAATGAGCATAGTACGGGCTAATTCAAGTAGATGTCGATGCTTACGCTCAGCAACACCATTTTGTTGTAGAGTTTCAGGACAAGATTTTTGAAAAATGATTCCATTATTAGTAAAAATATTTCGCATGCTAAAATTATCAAACTCACCCCCTCCATCACTCTGAAAAATCTTAATCTTGCGATCAAGTAAATTTTCAATCATTAATTTAAAATGATGAAAATGAGTAGTGACTTCAGACTTGCGCCGCATGGGATATATATACCCAAGTAAAACGAGAAAAATCATCCACAAAACAAACATAATATTTAAAACCAAGATGAGATAGAACAGGAGACTGCCAGACATCAGAATGAATTAATATAAAGCATATGGACTATTCTGAAAAACTTTATTAAATGGTCACCGTTGAGATTTTCCCAAACGACAAGGAATACAATTAGAAATATTAGCAGAAGTGCCAGAAATTAAATAAAATTATTCAGTCTGAGCTGATCTAAAACACGAGTACCACAATGTCCTAATCTATTATGTCAAATGGAAAGAGACGCAGCAAAAAGAGCAACAAGTTGAGGAGCAGGCTGATGGATGGGATAAACACCATTATCACTGAGAGCTCGAAGAAGGACCACCCCCGTTGTTAAATCCTTAACAAAAAATGATTTTTTATAAAAAATCACAGCACAGTTGTTATCAGCACACAACTTTTGAATGGACAACAGATTGTATTTAATATGAGGAACATGTAAAACAGATTTTAAGTGGAGAGGTCTAGGCGAGGATGATAATGTAACCTGACCGGCCAGTGTGTTTAACTGGGAGAGTGGTTCCGTTTGCTACGACTATAGAATGAGAGTTTAGAGAAAAGGATTTATGTGACAAAATACGTGAATGAGGAGTCATGTGTGCTGAGGCACCTGAATCAGGATACCAAACCAAATTAGAAGCATCAGGAGTCTGAGCACCAAGAGCAGGAGCAGTCGGCTGAACAAAACGAGAGGGACAGGTGGAGGCTGGATGACCTGGAGCATAGCAAATTTGACAAACTACCGGAGGAGGGACTGAGTTTCCCTCTACTGGGGAAGAGCCTGCATAGCCATGGTTAGTAGAAAAAGTAGATAAGGCATAAGTATAAAAATTTGACTGAACAGACATACCCGCTGAACCTGGAGCCCCAAGAATGCCAGCATGCGGTGCACCCCCTGGAAAGTAGCCCGATGGAGGATAACCATATCCAAAGTGTGGAGCATAAGCATGACCAAGCTGATACTGACCATAACTGCGGCCCCGCTGACCACGTCCACCACGTCCATGCTGACCACGACCTCCGTGGCCACCCCGCTGACCGCGTCCACGAGGTGCCTTCCCGCCAAAGGGTTGCTGCTGTCCGGGACCCTGCGGGTGCTGCTGTCCCTGCTGCTGCTGACCGCCGGCTGGTTGCGGCTGTGCGGGCTGCTGGAGATGACCCGCAAAGGCTTGTGCGGGATTAGACTCCTCTTGAGAGCGCATGTACTTAATACTCTGCTCCTTCTCAACTAACTTGGTCCGAAGTTTTTGAAAGGTAAAACAGTCCGGAAACAAATCTACCGACGTGATAAGAGACTCATAATCTCAGCCAAGACCAAGTAAAATATATTGAAATGGTTCCCGGGGAGACACAAAAGCATTTATGGCAGCAAGTTTATCAGCAATATCTTTAATATCAAGTACGTAACGATCCATGGACTGTGTAGGACTCTTCTTAGAGTGGGAAAGCTGGCGTTTTAATTCCATGGAACGAGCAAGACTAGCAGACATAAAATGTGACTCCAACCGGTTCCAAATAGCAAAAGCATTTTTTAACTCACGCACCTCAATTAACACATCACGAGATAATGTAGCAAACAACCATGAACGAACATTTTGATCAAGTTTCAGCCAGTTATGATAATCAGGGTTGATTGTCTCATGATGATATGCATAAAAAATGTAGGGAGGGGGAGCAGGGATGGAGCCATCTAAAATGCCTAAAAACCCATTGGAGACCAAAAAGGACTCAAACTGAGTACGCCAAGTAAGATAATCCTCAACTGCAGCAAGTTTGGTAGTAACAATATTTGTAATATTGAGTGCCGATAAACCAATATTTTTATCCAAATAAGATAAAGAATAACCTGGAGGAGGCGGGGCACTTGACCGTGGTGCAATGGGTCCGATGGAAGCGGAAGCAGGCAGAGGGGCGACTCCCGGAGCACCAGCGAAGGTGGGACCTGAAAAGCTGGAGCCGGAATTCACTGTTGGAGAGGAGCCGACAGCACCAGAGAAGAAAGACATCTGTGGAAGAGAAGGAGGCATGGTAGGAGAGTAGTTGAAGACCGGCGGCACCCATGGTGCGCCTGCTGCTGTTGCGAACAAATTGGGAGGAGGTGGCAGAGAGGCAACCGGAGAGAGGACTGGTGAGGCATCGAAGATGGTTGTCACCGGTGCGATTTGAGAAGAAGCGCTTCCAGCGGCGTTGGACATATCATACCCGCTGCGGCAGAGAAAGAGTCGGCAGAAGACATGAGGTCGAAAAAAAGAATTAGGGTAAAAAGGTTCTGCCTCTTGATACCATGTGAGAATAATTACCAGGCTTAACCATACTGGTAGCCCTGACAGATATATTTATAGATAATAAGAGTCAGAATTACAATAGGAGTCAACAATAATAAATAATATTAAAACGACTATATTACATTTTGGCAATTTTTATATATTTTTTTCTTTATTTTATTATTAAAATATATTTTAAATATAATTCATCCAATCATTAATGTTACAAAACGAGCTCCTGATTATTTGGGACATCTATATAATGTTATTTATAGATTAACTATCGGTAATTTATTGTGAAATGTTGTTCAATGACGTTCAACGCCACTTTTAATAACATTAATTTAATTAAGTGTGGAGTTTTTTTTATTAAACTAATGATTAAAGGTTAAATTACACGATAAGTATTCAATAATTGTGGGTGACTAATTTATGGATGAAGTAACGATATCCAAATAAACCCAGTACGAGACATCTTTTAATTTAAGAATGTTAGATAATTGGACTCATACTACATGTATTATTCACAGTATATTATTTATTGGGTTTAATTGTATATGATATGTTATCTTATATTTAGGCTCAAAAATTAGTGGTCATATGGATATTAATTTAAGTGGGCTAATAAGTTATCTAATAAGGTATAGGGTCCAAATGTGTAGAGACCCATGGCTTAACCTAATCAATTATGGGCTGATTAGGGTTAAGCACTCTCTATAAATAAGGGGTTATGGTCCCTAGTTGAACATGTCATTTCGTCTTTCTGCATCCCATCTCTAGAAAGATAATTCCCAAGGGTGTGTATCAACTAGAAGACGCAAACCCTAGCTCTGTCTCTCGGATTTCTAAAGATCATCTCCCATGGAGTCAGGTACGCTTCCGCTCAGTTATTTCTCTAGATAATTCTAGTACGAAGATTAAAGTATTTATGGACTTATTCCAATACAGAATACTCACATTTTGCGTATGTAGGGGATGTTGAACCATGCATGGAAAAATCATGAAAACTTGTATCCCTAAACAACTTCCCTTATTCTAAATAATCCTATATTATTTGTAGTTATACTGATTACTATTTGTATGCCTTTATATCTAACACGTTTAATTTTATTTTACTCATATCTAAAATACATTACACATATTTATATTCAAAAAATATATATCTTGTGTTGAGGGTAAATCCCGTAGATCCGAAAGCCCAACACGAACTTTGGATATATCAGGAATGACACAGAATCAAAGCGTGTAAAAAATATAAGATCTGAACTAACTAACACTCGAAAGCTCACTTGTATTAATTAACCAGTCTGATTACAGGAATTTCCCGATCGGTAGATCGGAAACAATGCTTAAATACAAGAAATAAGAGCAAAGATGCTATTCTAGAGCCTGAGTATTGAAATGCTAACCCTTACAATGACTTGAAACCTTCTATTTATACTAATGGAGAGCATGGGCTGCCCTATGCTGATTGGCCGTTGTTCCACCGACTTGGTCATCCATGCTTCCACTTGCTGATGTCACAGTCTGGCATTAATTGCACCTGGCCACTTGCGGTTTGGCCGTTGCCCGAACGGGATGTTGGGCTATGCTGAAGCCGCTGTCATGATATATAGCCCGAACTCCGTTCGGTATGTCTCCTTACTGGGCCAACCATTACTTGGGCCGATTCTCGTTCGGCATTGATTCTACCATGATTATCCTATCATCATGTGATGGGCCCGTTGCTTGGGTCGGGTATCTTGGGCCTTCCTGATCCGGGTATTGGGCCTCTAGATCAATATCCCAACACAAGTCCCCCACTTCCGATGTCTCGAACGATAGTGAGTGCATTAGGAAGTATGAATATCAATGTTGTAATACTCCGAATGGCGATCGGGGTACAGAAGTAATCAGTTCCCCATGCTGTGATTTGACGGCTGCCGCTTCATTTCCCCATATTCATCATGGTAACCATCGTTTAGTCTTTTCATTAGACACGTGTTTTAGCTTAAATGCTCCTAGTGACGTGTCGCTCCCTGATTGGTCCTTGACACGGCGGTTTCAAGGCTATTAATTAGCCTTTAACTTCTCAATTCCGGGTTTCGATTCTGCAATTCTCCGCGCCTTGTTGATTCCCCTGCAATCTTCTCCCAGCTTCCATCGCTCAGGTAACTTCTCAAATCCGGATTCCTTATCTTCATTTCTGGCTCGACCGAGATGAGCCCCAAACAGCATTCCTCTGATTCGGAGATGGCCTCCCATGGAGATGACCGTGACGCCGCTATTGTGGACGTCATCACAGTCCCGTTTGCCGGTGGTTCTACTGAAACGGCGGCGAATACCAGGGCTGAGGCGGAGGACCTTCCTAGCACTTCTTCTTCCTCCAGTGAAGATTCCGACGACACCAAATCCGAGGACGAAATAGCCTCCATGGCGGCCGGACGTCCCAACGATTTTCCTCGCCATACCCTTGACCTAAAATTGATTAGGGAGAGGCGGCAAAAATTGACCTCCCATAATAGGGCCGAAATTCCGGCCCTTATCCCTGACCCGGTGGATTTCCGTTTGCAAGCTGGGCTTCACCCAATGCGTCATAGGCCTGGAATGACCATAGTTCATTTTGACTCAATTAGGGCCGGCCTTAGGTTTCCGCTACACCCCTTTTACATTTCATTCTTCAATTTCTACGAAGTTGTACCGGCCCAAATTATGCCGAACTCCTATCGGGCAATGGCGGGTTTTATTTGTCGTTGTAAAGATGCCGGCGCCCGACCAACCCTATAACTCTTCCACCAATTTTTCAAGGTAGCCCCTCAACAAACCCACGGCTATCTGGCCACTAGTGCCCAAACGGGACATATCCTGTTCAAGGGAAACCCAACTTCAATCAAAGGGTGGAAAGACCGGTTTTTCTTCGTGTCTGTCCCGGACGGCCTAATTCCCCGCAAATGGAATGCCTTCCCCCGCAAGACTCCTGATCCTGTCCTTACTGAAGAAATTTACAAGGACGTGCTTGCTGTGGAGAAGGATAAATGCATGGACATCATGAGTTATCTGACTCCCGATCGACTTGTTACAGCCGGGATAGGTACTGCCCGTTATCTTGGGTTTACTTGTTTTGAGAAACCAAGTGCCATGGTCCGGGCGGTCCTTCCCGTGCGAGAAACGTTCTTTTGTTCCCTTTTTTTCTAGTTTCTCACACGCTAAGGTCGCTCGATACTAACATTGCCCTTTGTCTTTTTTCAGCACCCAACCCAGATCTATCCATGGATGATAGCAGAGTTATGGCAGCCGGTGGGGCCGGTAAACGAAAAAAGGCCAGGAAGAACCCCCAACCTACTCCCTCCATGGTTCCCGCTGGGGATGCTGCCTCTTTTCAACCGCTTCCAGAGCCACAGCCGATACAACAGGTCCATCAGGACCAATTTGACGCCATGATGGTCGACGATCGGTTCGGTTCTGACCAACTGCATCAGTTCTCCCAGCACTTCGACTCCGTTCAGGGGGAACCCTCAAATGCAGGTGAGACCCATACCGACCATATTACTGGTCAGGTCGAGCGGATCTCCTTATCTGATCCTGTTCACGAGGTATTAGAAAGGGCTGGTTCTACCGCAAGCCAGATCTGGTCGACCTCCTCTTGGTTCAACAATTTTTCCCTTCCTCAATTGCCGGTCGAGCAATCTGAAGAATGCTTGGCCTTGACCGCTCTGAAGATACATTATCTTTTGTGCTCTGTTTTCATTTCATTTTCTGTAATCAGTACTAACTCTCGAACGATGCTCTGTAGATGGGTTTGTACACCCTGCAAATGCGGGAAGCCCGTCTGGCCAAGGAACGGGAACTGATTGTTGCTCAATCTTCTGCTGAGCAAAACGCTGCCGCCGCCATCACCTCTCTGGAGGCCGAACGGAAGGCCTTTGCGGAGGAGAAGCAGAGGCTGGATGCTGAGCTCGGTACCCTTCGGGTCCAACTTACAGCTTCCCAGGCAAAGGTCCTCGCCGCTGAGGCCGCACAGGTCAAGTTTGAGGAAATGCCCTCCAGCATCCCGGACGGTCCCTATGAAGTGAATGTGGATCTGTCCGCCGTCCGGGAAACTTTTAAATCCTCTGATGAATTCTCCATCATCAAGGATGATCACGCAAGGACCCAAATCACGTTCGCCTTTGGGGCGTACTTGAAGGGTTTCCCCAAAGGCGCTGGTCGGCTATCGGCAGGGGTGGCCCTCTTGGACAAGGATCCCGAGGCCAAAACATGGAACGACTCCATCGTTACAGATTTATATGCAAAGATCGGCCAGGTCCTGCTGCGTCCCTTTGTCGCTCAACTTCAGAATAATCTGGGGAGGCCGGTTCAGGCTTCTGATCTTCCCCAGGATGATATCATACAAGCCCAATTTGAGAAATTTCAGCGAGATCAGAAACGGGAAGCTGATCGGGCTGCTGGGAGGGAGCCTGAACCCCCGTCCGATGATGATGAGGACGAGGATGAAGAGGGAGATGAAATGGCCCTTGGCCAATAATCTATATGTACTTTTTAATTATTCGTTGTAATTTTCTTTTCTTCAAGTAGCTTGTACTTCCCGGTCAGTAGAACCGATGAATATATATCCCTTTTTTGCATGAAGCTTTGTGTACTGTCTTTTCCGCCTTTTTTGC